AGCAGCAGGGGCAGGCGAAGCAGCGGGTGCCTGGGGCTCCTGGCTGGGCAGAGGGAGTTTCTGGTGGTCTGAGTTGCTTGATGGGTTGGAGGGGACATCTGCTTGCTCCCTGCAGGAGATGGGGCACTGGAAGGAGTTGGTGCTTAAGGGCTGCGAGTGCTTTAGCAGTTGATGCTGGGTTTTTCTAAGAGAGGATATTTATGGCGAGTGGGGGGCAGTTCTTCTGGGAAAACACAATCCAGTATCATGGGTAGTGGGAGCAGACCCAAACCCCCTCAGTCCCAGTTGGGTTTGGTGGTCTGTTAGGGAATAAATGACCTAGGTGGCAGTGCCATCCCTCAGCAAGTGAGTCCTCCTGACCTCTCCGTTGGTCTCTGTTGCAGGGATCGTGAAATGTGACCCAAAACTGCCTGACGATGCTCCTTTTCCACTGCCTCCCCCTCGGCCCAAGAACATAATCTTTGATGATGAAGAGAAATCCAAGGTAAGGGCTCAGTGCAAGGAAAGGGACAGCAAACATCTTCCCTGCTCCAGGATCTCCTGTCCTCCTGGGGTAGAGATCCAGAAAGAGTGAAGGCCCCAGCTCTACATGCTGTCCTTCAGAAAATGCATCACAAGAATACTGAGGGCCCACTCCAACATCATGACAAAGGAAACAACCAAAGGTGGGGAATGTGGGTCTGTTTGACCTTTGGAGCTCTTAGCTGCAGGATGGTGTGAAGGGTGGAGCACTGACATTAGCCCAGCAGGTTCTGGGAGGTTTGTCGTTCTGCGGTTTTCAGGCTTCTGAGTTATCTAGCCATGAGGTTTAAATCCCAGCCCCAGATGCTGCTGCTGTTATCTCTTCCCCACCCCCAGCACTGCAATCTGCGTATTGCCCAACTACTTATACCCTCCTGGACCCATCCTGCATTGCCTTTCCATCAGAATTGTGTGACCACTCAGACAAACCTCTGCTTTGTCAGTGCTGATAGATTTAAGCAAGTATTAGGCTTCTCCGGGTCTAGTTCTGCAGCAGAGGTGCGATGCCAGTGTGCTGCAGGGGATATATTTTGCTTCCATGGGTCACAAATGAGGATTTGTAGGCGGCTAGTGGGATGTTTCTCCAACTATAGAAGAGGGGAGAAAGTGGGAGCTCTCCCTCTTCACCAATTGCACCTGCAAAGAGGCATGTGAAGAGGTCTTAGTAGAAGTCCATTACAATCCCATGGCAATTCCCTGCGTTAAAGTAGGCTTTCTCTCTTCCTCAGTACTCCTGCTGCTGCGCTCCCGGGTCTCCATGGTGCGTAACGGGCAAGCAGGGGCAGCTTTCGAATGCAGGGGATCTTCAGGGAAAGACCTATCTTGCATAACCAGAACCACAACGGGAAAAGGAAGACCAGTTGTTCTTTTTCTCTCCCTTGTCTCTGATAGCCCGCAAGCTCTCGTGGCTGGGCTTTCAAATGGCTGGCGTTGTCTGCCACCTCTGCCAGACACAGGTTTGGGCCGGGGGTAGCTCCATTGGCTCTGGTGTTGCAGGAGTGACTCTGGCTGCCACCCCTCAGCTTGGGCTCAGAGGTACCCTCTCTTTTGCAGATACTGGCTCGTCTCCTGAAAAGTTCCCATCCTGAGGACCTCCGGGCTGCCAACAAGCTCATCAAGGAGATGGTTCAGGAGGTGCGGCTGGGGAGAAGGGGAGCTGGAGAGTCATGGTCTGAGTGGCAGTGGTTGGCACCAAGGGAGCAGTGGGTCTCTGTTCTCATGCAGACATGTGGAGCTTCTGCTCAAAATTTTGCAGCAGCAGCTGCTAAAGAGTCCTTGTGTGACTTCTGCCATCCCTTGGCTACTTGAAGGAATGGCTCTGGGCACTTTCTGTGGCCCAAGCCCTGCTGCAGCACTAGATTCGTGGCACTTCCACCCCTCTTTGGCAAGTGCTGACCCAGAGGTGATCTGGAGTTTTCCAGTGGAGAGGGAGCTCTTTTGAGGGCAGCTATGCCTTAGTCCAGGGAGTTGGTGTGTTGGCTGGCTCAGCTTTCCTCCTTTCCAAGTTGCAGACAAGAGCAAGGACATCCCTGTGTTCTTCCCCTTCAGGATCAGAAGCGCATGGAGAAGATCTCCAAGAGGGTGAATGCCATTGAGGAGGTGAACAACAATGTGAAGCTGCTGACAGAGATGGTGACAAACTACAGCAAGGGGGAGACAACAGAGAGCAATGAGGACCTAATGAAGGTGAGGAAAGGCCATCCCAGCATCCTCCCTGGGCTTAGCAGAGATGGATCACTCTTATCCCTGCCACGTTCCTCCTTCTGGTTTTGCACCTCCAGCTGAGCATCCTGCTGGTCGCCTGAGCACCCCTTTCTCCTCTCCCCCAGGAGCTGTATCAGCGCTGCGAGCGCATGAGGCCCATGCTTTTCCGACTTGCCAGTGACACAGAAGACAACGATGAAGCTCTGGGTAAGTGTATCTGGCCTTTCTCATTCTGTCCCCTTCTCCTTCCGTCTTCTTTCAGGGAGCCTGTGCTTTGATGCCATGCCATGGGGAGCCCATCAGCAGCCACCACTCTGGGGTGGTTGCTTACTGTACTTTCGTTAGTCTATGGCTTGGCACGAAGCAGGGGCACGTGGCAGTAATTAGCAGTGTTACAGGCTTCTTCCACTTCACAGTGGGAATGATGCTTGAGCTTGTCCTGCTCAGACTGCCATGGGGGTATCAACGTACCTCGATGAAGTTTGCAGCAACATTTGCAAAAATGCTATCTGCAGTGGGCTGTTAGCAGCTCCTTGGGCCTTGCTTTGAAGGAATAGAGAGAGTTGGGGCATAAAGCTCACTCTTTTTTTGTTTCTTCACTTTCTTCTTAAAACTTCCTTCCCACCTATTCCATTTCAGCGGAGATCCTGCAAGCCAATGACAATCTGACACAGGTGATCAATCTCTACAAGCAGCTTGTGCGGGGAGAAGAGATCAATGGGGAGACAGTGGCTGGTCCCCTTCGAGGTGAGGGGACTTGGGGAATGGGGACAGGAAGGTCAAGCAGGGGGACCCTATTGCTGGTTTCCTGCAGTTTGAGAGAACATTGAGAGAAGTAGGAAGGTGAAATCTGCAGGAGGTCAGAGTGGGGCTGGTGAGATGAGGAAATGGCTTGCAGAGGTGTCTGATGCATGAAGAGGGGGAACTGGAAGGGAGAGCAGATGGGGAGTTCCTTCTCCCAGCTGTGAGGAGGGATGGGAACTGGCCTCAGCACACTGGATAAGGACTGAATAAGGTTTCTGTCTCAGATTGTTCCTTCTTTGTAGGCAGCACCTCAGCGCTTCTGGATCTGTCAGGCCTGGATCTTCCAGCATCAGGCCCTTCCTACCCAGTCTTGCCCACCCTTTCAGGTGGCTCAGCAGTCCCTGTGCCTGACCAAGCTGGCTCTGTCTCCTTGCTGGATGATGAACTCATGTCTTTAGGTGAGAATTACAGAGCAAAAGCTCTTTATTCTTTCCTTGACTCTGGACAGTCTGCATGGATGTTTTTTCTTGTGGTAGGAACATGAATAAGGGAGAGCTCTGGGAGAGGTGAATAATGAAAGACCAAGAGGTGTCCCTCACTTCGTGTGAGGGAGGAGGGAAAGACCCTGCTATGATTCTGAACTTCAATCCCGTGGTGTTTTCCTGACTAGTCAGAAAGAGCCTGCAGGGATGTGCCCTCTGATTTGCTCTGGGAAAACTGACCTGGCAGGTAAATCAAGAGTGATGCAATGGCCATCCCTAGTTGGGATCACCCGAGTGGATCACCCCCAGCTCCTCATGTTTAGTCCTTCCAGTTGAAGTCATGAGCTGACAACAGACGCATGGGACTTCCAGAACTTTTGACATTGAAATCTTGTGAGGTGCCAGTCCTAGAAGGCCCTAAGAGTCCTGCTTTTCCCAACAAAGTGTCTGTTTCCTAAGACTGGTGTTTTGAGTACAACAGCATGAAGTAGACAACATGATCCCCCAGGTGCAGGTGCACGTGGGGCCTGTTAACCCAGTAGTGTTCACTTATCTGCCAGTTGCAGTAGGAATTAGACTGTAAATGAGGATCTCTGGGCAGAAAAAATACTGTCACCCTCCCTGCGCTCCCCCATGAAAGGATGAGGGCCAGAGATTGAGACCGTGTTGGTGGTTCTGCCCTGCTGCTTCTGCATCTTATCTGACCAGAGGGATCTCAGTTACTGGTGCCTTATTCAGGCCCTGTTTAATGCTCTTTCCTGCTTGGTAGCTAAGCTTCATGTTTGCTTTTACCCTGACAGGCCTGAATGACCCAGCACCACATCCTGCCCATGCTGGTGACAGCAGTGGCTGGAACAGCTTCCAGGTAACGTGCTGGGAGCCGGGGCAGAAGGTGGGGAGGGTGGTGGAACAACAAATGGACTAGGCAGGGAAGTGTCCCAGGTCTGATGATTGGTGCTGATATGCAGCCCTGCTTGGGGGCTCTCCTGTGCACTCTTCCTACAGTCATCAGATAGCAACGAGCTCAGTGTGACTCCAATCATGGCAACGCAACCAGTCAAAGCAGATGCTGGCACGTCCTCTCCCAAACCTTCTCCTTTCACCAGTGGCCTGGATGACCTGGACCTCCTGGGCAAGACTCTGCTGCAACAGTCTCTGCCTCCAGAGTCCCAACAAGTGCGATGGTAAGCAGGGGAAGGTCAATCTTGCACTTCTCCCCATCCTTTCCATTTTTGGGGTGCTGGATACAGACATTTCAGTGCCCTGTTCCACTCCTTGCTCTTTCTCCGTCCAGGGAGAAGCAACAGCCCCCTCCCCGGCTCACCCTGAGGGATCTCCAGAACAGGAGCAGCTCTGGCAGCATGGCCCACAATCCCAGCGCTCTGCCCGTGCTCCAGAGCATTTCCCCTAACCCCACGCTGCCCCTGACCTCAGAGCTGCCTGCCCCTGCTACCCTTCCCAAAGCTGCCACCGCACCAGCAGGAAGTACTGCAGTCCCACCACGGCCTCCTGCCGCTGCGCTGCCCCAGGAGATCTCGCTGGCCAACATCACTGTGCCTCTGGAGTCAATCAAACCCAGTGAGCTGGGGTGAAAGAGTAGGGCAAGTTTGGGGCGGGGGTGGACTGTTTGGAAGGGAGTCAGACAAATTGGGGAAGAAACAACTGGACAGGGTATGAAGAAGGTGGAACAAACCCTGGGCATATGGAAGGGAAGAATGTGAGGAAACTTCCAGGTTGTTGGATTTTGTGGAGGTTGAAGAGGAGTGGTATCTCTGTTACTTGTGTGGAGTTTGGGCGATGAGGAAAGGTTACCGCAGGGCCAGTTTCCTCCTGGTTCACTGCTGCCTGTCCCTGCCTTTCCCACAGGCAGCATCCTCCCTGTGACGGTGTATGATCAGCACGGCTTCCGCGTCCTCTTCCACTTTGCTAAGGATGCCCTGCCCGAGAGGCCTGATGTGCTTGTGGTGGTGATTTCTATGCTTAGCACGGCCCCGCAGCCCATCCGCAACATTGTCTTTCAGTCTGCCGTCCCCAAGGTAAGGTGGCTGCTGGGGCTCAGGTCCCCAGACTGAGTCAAAGTGTGATTCTCCCTTTGCAGGAAAGGCAGGGTGGGTGGAGAAAGCTCTCTGGGGCTGAAAGCGAGTTGTCTTGCCTTCAGATTAGCAGGAACCAGCAGAGTGTTTTTCTCTTCAACTAGACAGTGGAATATAAATACAGGAGCAGGGCCTCTGGTTGCCCAGTCCCTCTCAGGAATGTGGGATGCTCTTCTCTCTCCCTAGGTGATGAAGGTGAAGCTGCAGCCTCCCTCAGGCACGGAGCTGCCAGCGTTCAACCCCATTGTCCACCCCAGTGCCATCACACAAGTCCTGCTGCTAGCTAACCCACAGAAGGTAACAGCACCGGCCTGGGGCATGAGCAGAGGCTGGTCTTGCTGCCTGGGCAAAGTTTGGTTACCCTGTCCCTATTCCCTCTACAGCTTCCTAGAGACCTGAATGGTTTGTGCCTCATGACTTTCTTCCCACCCTTCTGACTGCTTATCATTTCTCCCCTGTCTCCAGGAGAAAGTGAGGCTACGGTACAAGCTGACCTTCACCATGGGAGAGCAAACCTACAATGAAATGGGGGACGTGGACCAGTTCCCCCCACCGGAGTCCTGGGGAAACCTCTAGGGCCGCACGTTGCAGGCACTACACTGCAGAGTCCTTGGGAAGCCAACCCTGTGGGGCTGGAGCAGCCCGAGGAGATGGGGAGGGTGGGTGGGGGGCTGCTGCTCACGCTCTGTTCTCCAGATGGCCGGGCGAGGGCCAGAGGGAGCATGCAGGAGAGCAGAGACGCCAGGAGATGTTCATCCCACAAGA